ACATACATACATACATATGTATCTATCTATCCGTCCATCTGTCTATCTATCTATCTAGCTATCTAGCTAGCTAGCTATCTATTTGTCTATGTATCTGTATGTATGTATAATACATGTTTTCTGTGCCGCTTGTCCCGGAATGTACGGTTTAGGGTTTAAGGACTATCAGGCGGCTTTATAAGGACCTTTGCTGATTTTTAGAAGGTGGCTTGTCGGCCGTTTCAATTAAGGAGTAGACCTGAAAACGGAGTATGAAGCCCAATACATTTTGTCATATTCTCAACATAGAACTGGCTTTGGGCCCTCAGGGTTCATATGTAGAGTTTTATAAACCAAAGTTTAGCGCAGGAACCTGTAAGGAACAATATCAGAAAGATGTCCTAGCCCTGATATATGAGGGCTTTGATAGTTAGAATAGTTCTTTCGGGGCATAGAAAACCATAACCATAAGAAGGAACCTTAAGGACTAGCTTTGGTAGTTCTTTAGGCACATACTAGGAAGTTCGCGGAGAACATCATGGGCTCAGCGCACTTGGGACCCTCAGGCTGAACCAGCGCCCAGTGCCTCCAGATGTCACGCCTCCGCGTATTCGACTCGCACGTCGGGGATGTGCCGAAGCTTACTATGGTACTCCTCGAGTTCTGTATCGCGGACCTCGTAGCGATCCTTTAAATCACAGATGAGCTCAAACCGCTTGAGCTCATGTAGCTTTGCCACGCTCTCAATGATGGCAGAACGACCGCACTCCGAGATGCGCAGGGTACGGCAGGAGAGCCGATGATCATGATCATAATTTCCACTGAGATCCAGTCTCCTGGACAGTCGAGATTCTAGCTTTGAGAGGAAGAAGTTGCTCGTTCTTCAGTTTGGTGTGCAACCAATGATTCCAAGGCTTGGAGGAGCTGCTTTTTCAAGGCAGACAAATAAACCTATATCTAACATGAAACCTAAAAAGACTAATCCAGAACTATGCAGAAGAAGGCAATGCCCCAAACAGTCCCAGCGTCAGGTGGCTGACCTGAAGCAGGCAGCAAAGCGACTCGGCAAGAGCATGGCAACTTGCATCGTCCGTTCGCGTCTGGCGCAAGTTGATTTCGAGCTCTGTCACCTTAGGGTTTACTGGTTGACCCTTTAAAGCCTCTGAAAAACATATTAGTAAATAAGGTCCTCTTAATCCCAACAAGGGAAAAAATAAAATATCCCAAAGGCCTACCTAGGTTTAGGGTCTGGACTCCTCTGGATCTTCAGAGAAAATATGGTGGCATTCTGATGTGATTCACTTACCTACTTTCATCCTCAGGTGAAGATTCACTGAATGGCAAACGAAGTCACCTCCACCAGATGCCTTAGCCCCTTCAAGAAGGGCTTTGAAGGGTCTGTCTCTTCATACATCTCAGCCAAGTCGAGGATGACTGTGCGGAGGTAGACGCCTGTGCTCAAGCTTGCAGGCTTCCGCAACGGCTTGTTGTCTGTAGTCTATGATATCATATACTATATTCTAGCCTATCATATGATTGTAAGGATTCCTGGTTTTGTGAACCTCATACCCGTGTGCATCAACGCGTATGAGAATTAACAACATAGAAGCTCAGAGCGATGAGGGTTAAACCTTTCATAACAAGGCCTGAAGAATTAGTAGTACCATTTCCGAGGGTTTCCCTAACAAATGTAACGTCCACATGTTGAGGCCCCTATGTGATCCCTTGAGTGTTTACTGTTTAGGGGCCTTTATGGTCTTCTTAGCTGCTGAGTTCATAAGCACCAAAAAGTGCACACTTTCAGTTCTATAAGGGATCATATTACCCCAAGAATTTGAAAGTGTACTCACTCAGCAACTAAGTTGTTCAACCGTAGCGCTGGACTCTAGACTCGAACCTGAAGCCCCTGAAACTCCCTGAAGGCCTACACCGTAGCAAACTCGGGGTTTAGAGTAAACCCTAAATCCCTTAAAGTCCTTATTGACGTCCCCTAGAGCCCTTAACCGTAGCAAACCGGAAGCGAGGAGCTCTTTCCCAGGCCCTGAAATAAGGCGCTCAAGCACTGAGTTGGCAAAGCTGAGATGTCGCTGATTTCCCGCTTTCCCTCAAAGCCGTGCCTGCACTGTAGGTTGATATAAAGCTGCGGTTTATGGCTGTAGGGGTTTAGGGCTTTGGGGGTTTGTGGTTTAAGGTTTTCCGGTTACGGGTACTGGATAGCTTTTTAAGACCATAAGCAGTTCTTGATAAGACAGAACCCACATTGCCAGCTAGTTGCATGGTGAGCCGGAGCTTTCTATAGTCCGGGCCCAAGCGCTGCAAGCGCGAGATGACTGCAGCAATACCATGGTCAAGCAGAAAAAGCGGAGAGGAAGTACGCACTTTCAGAACGACTTCAGTGTCAGCTTTAGCTTCAGGGAGCCCTTTCTCCCTCAGGTCCCGGTCAATCGAACGTAGAGGCCTCATGCACTTCTCAATGCACGTAGTACCTGGGGCAATACTTGGAGTCTTCAGGGTTGCAGGTTGTAAGCGAAGGCGACGAAGCGTCAGCGCACCGTCTTGGTCCAAGAGCTCTATCTCTGGCGTCGTCACTTGAAGTTCTTGAAGCTTCACCCACTCCGTGATTAAGGTCGGCTCCTTTGACTTCCTGGCTGCCCTTTGTGCACTGCCCCGAAGATCTTTGTTGAAGCTCTCCCAAAGCTTCCCATGCACCGTTTCCAGCCTGCAAAGCGATTCTGCGTAGCGCTCCCCGGAGGACGAGTACGCCAGGGCCTCCTGTAGCAGCCAGCTGCGTAGCTGCCAGGCGATGGAGTTGTGAAGCTGTGTGGCGGCCAGTAGCCGGAGGCCGGGGATCACAAGGTTCATCGCTAACGGAAACGTCTTCGTCATGCCCATAGCCAGCAACTCCAGCAACGCTTGCGGAGCATCCTCCAGCAGCATCGCCTTCTGCCTTGAAGGCTCTGTCTCCACATAAGCCGCTTGACATGCCCGTTCTGAGAGGCTTGGTCGGGGAGCATCTGCTTCCTGCGGCTTCAGAAACAGAAGGGCCAGGTAGCTCCGATCCAGTCTTTCTCTGCCCGACGCTCCTGGCCAAAGCCAACAGAAGTGCAGCATCCAGACGTAGGCGAGGCCCACGTATCCTGTAAGGACCGTCACAGCAAATTCGGACTGAAAAACTCAATCAATGCAACAAAAAGCCCTGACTAAGTTCCTCTGGACCCCGCACGGCATCCAAAACCCCGAGTTCCATTCTTGTTTGCATCAGACTCCTGTCCTAAGTAGCTGGTCCAGTGAAGTTCCGACTGCATCACCATGCGCGCAAGCATTGCATCTTTCACAACGTCGAAGCCATCGCCCATGAAGGGAAAGAGGGTTCGAGACGACATCGCAACATCGATGGCACTGTAGCTGCAAGTGCTATTGAACCTCATGACCAGTGCCTGTAAGAAAAAAAGGAGGAGCCCAGACGACCAGAGAAGGTCCCAAGCCTCCCAAGACATGCCATCGGCACTCAGCTGTCCTCCCCAGCTTGCCGAGATAGTCAACTTCGAGCACAAGATCAGCCAGCACAGCAGGAGTACCGACAAAAGGAGATTCCGAGATTCATTCGAGAGGGCCCAGAAGAAGACAACTTCAGGTAGCTCTTTCCCGGACTTGGCGCCAGCAGTGGCCCTTCAGGAACTTCATTGTAAGTTACCATACTAGGGATCTATAGCAAATAATAGGGTCTCTCATTATTATTATATGGTAAACTTAAATTAAGCCCCTGAACTCTATAGTAAATAATCGGTCTATTTTTCAATGGATGGTAGCTTAACTTAAATCCCTTAACAAGAACCCAGATAGTAAATAAGAATAGGGTCTCTCTTTTTTCTATGGTAGCTAAAACTCAGTCCCTTAAAACAAGAGCCCAGCCTTTCAGAGGCCTCCTCCAGGCTCAGAGTCGATGCTTTCGGCGCCCTCTTCAGTTTCTGGGGCCGGCCAATGCACAGGAGGAGGGCAGAAACCCCTAGCACCACGACGTACTTCCTGGGCTCTTAGTAGGAAGCATTAGTCGAAGTTACCACAATGATAAGAATAATAATGTTAATAGTAATAATAGTAATAATAGTACCAATAATAATAATAACAATAATAATAGTAATAATAATAAGGAAAAAGGCCGTACCTTCAAGCAGGCTCCTTAAGGAGAGCCCAGCTTCAGAAGCATCAATGAGATCCAGTACTTGGCTCGAGGCAGCCAAAGGTGCGACGGAATCTCTGCCATGCTTGGCCAAACTGGCTCTGGCAGCTCAATCCAGCGTATGCCATGGGACTTTAGGTGCAGAAAGGGCTGTGTGGTGTTCACCTCGGTGCCCCACTAACCCCTTCATAATACGGGCGCCGGCTTTCTTTCCAACTCTTGTCTGGAAACCCTTAAGCAACAATTGGGAACCAGTAGAGGGCCCAGTCACTTCGATGTAAGCTGCTGGGTTTACATCTGGCACTGTCCATCGGATGCTGTCCTCAAGCTTGAAGCTAAGGGCGACTGGCAGCAACGCCATTACTAGCAGCAGCAGCAGCATCCGCACCTGAGCTCTGTTTAGGGACCTTGACTTGAAACCAAGTACACATGAAGATAGAATGACTAATCAGTTTGACGATGCTTCTGGTTCCTTTATGACTTCTTAGACTGCATGTCTTCTTGGTCAACACAAGCTCAGGTGCGAGATCATCGGGGCGTAGAGCACATGCCTTCGTTGCCAGGGCCGCCATGAAGCCACAAAGGAGCGGCAAGCAGGAAACGGCCGGCCAGGTCCGGCAAATCCATTTGGGCCAAGGTGAGCACGGCCATTCATTCCTGAGTTCTTCTTCGGGTTTAGGGTTCAGGGTGGTAGGTATTAAGGTTTAGGGAGCATTTTCCCAGGCGGCCATAATGCGGAGAGCATGTTACATACTACGTCTCGGTATCGTTGAGTTTATGAGGCCTACAATCACAACGGCGCTGGAATGGACCCCCTTTATACAGAAGCCCCTACGAGTACCGCTGAGATTAAAACTGTCAGCCACCCTACGAGAACCCGGAACAACCCTGAACCCTAAACCCTAACAGACAAACCCTGGCGGAAACGAAAGAAGAACCCAGATTCCCCTAAACCCTAAGCCGAGAAAACGCTTGTAGACACCCAAGAAGAACCTGATGTAGGGCCCACAACTAGGATAGGGTTTTGGGATACATTGTACTTTTCTCATAACAAGGACCCCCCAAAATAGTATTAGTAATGATTTAGGCCCCTATATTAGAGCAGCCCCAAACTTTGAACCCTGCTCCTTCTTCATCTGCTTTCAAGTATATTGGTAGTTCTCTAAATTAGGGTCCCTTCTCTAAGCACCCCAGAAAAGACGGCACCCTTGTCAAAAAGGACCCCCAAAAAGGGACCATAATTTAGAGAACGTCCCTTCGAGAAAAAAGACCCTGAGCCCTGAGCGCACCCTTGACAAAAAAGGACCCAAAAAACGGACCCGAATTTAGAGAACTACCCTTATAGAGAAAAAAACCCTACGCGCTAAGCCAAGAAGTGCCCAGGGTCCCGTTAGGCGACGCAAGGAGGGCCAAGACCGAGAAGGCCAAGGCTGCCAGGCTAGCGAGAGTCACCATGGTCTCCTCCAACACGCTAAACCCTAAACCCTAAAGTTTAGGGTTTAGGGTTTGGGCGTTTAGGGTTTAGGGTTTAAAACCTAAAGCCTAACCCCATGACCCCCCGCAGCCCTAAGCCCGCAACCTCAACACCATAAACCCTATAGAAGCCTTAAAGGACCCCGGTGGGCTTAAGGCTTTATATAGGCGGCCCTTCAAGGCGCTAGGGTGCTTTTTTGTGCGTTTTTGGTGCTTTTGGCTTCTCGTTTCGGTCTGCCCGATGTCTCGGCGAGAGGGTGGGTTTAGGGTTTAGGGCCGTTTCGGGTTGGGGGGGGCCTTAAGAACTTCGCCTTTTTTTTGTTACGGTGGGGAGGGGGATTCTGCAACGCGAACATAAGCAGATTTCTACATGTTTTAAGGGCTGAACTATGGGTCCTTGGTTTTGGGGTTTACTATGCGAGACGACAGCTGGGACAAAATCTCTAAGGAGATACGACTAGCTACATGGGCCTCTATGTAGGAGAGTTAGGATTAGGGCGACCCTTGGGGATATAGACCCTCTCAACAAGGTCCCGCTTAAGAGGAGCCACAAGTAGGGTTAAGAAGGGTCCCGTTTAAGAGGTCTCCCTAATGCTACACAGGGGGCCCTTCGATTACAGGTTTAGGGTTTCGGGGTTCAGGGTTCAAACCACCACAAACGTCTAAATTCCTAGGATTTTGGCGTGTAGGGTTTACGGGTTTAGGATTTAGTCATGTCATGTCTGACTAAGCACTGAGCCAAGCTGCAGAGGTCTCGCCGGAGAAGCTGAAGCTCAATGCCGGCACCAAGAAGGTCAGGAGAAGGAAGAGCCTATACTGAATTTTGGTACCCAAGCACAAATTACCATTTCAGCTGTTTCTTAGGGGTGAAAATAGCCCCAAATCCTAAACCCTGAAAGAGTAAGAACTATTTCAAAGTACCCCTAAGGAGCTGGTGAGAGCCGGTTGCGAAGAGCACTGGCAGACTGAAGGACCATGCCAAAGGCAAGCCGACACTTTGAAGCCATGTCCTTGAGTTTTTGTGGGACTTTTGAGCTTTGGGGTGTTGGGCTTTGGGGTTTGGGGTGTTAGGCTTTGGGGTGCAGGGTTTTAGGCTTTGGGGGCTCAGGGTTTTTTCGCACTGACGCTTGCGAAGACCCGGCTCCTGCAATCGGCCGCCTCTATGGCCCTTGCATCCGCCAGGAACCCCATGAACCAGCACCCGATCCTTAGGGGCTGAGCACCCTAGCCCAACAAAGCTTAGCCTTCTAAACTATAGTAGGATTTCAGAAGCCCCAAAAGCCCCTTTTTTCAAACAAGAAAGGCTTGACCTTTATGAATCTATTAGGATTGTAGAAGCCCGTTAAAGAGGCTTAAAGGTTACACCGACAGTCAGCCTCTAAGGAGGATCCCTGGCAGCAGAAAGGTGGCCAGAGTCCAGCGCAGCGGAAAGCAAGCCTGGGTTGTTGGTAAGGAATCGAATTTAAGTTACCATAATAGGGATCTTAGGGCTTTAGGGTTTAGGTTCTATAGTAAATGATAGGGTTTCGATCAGGCAGAATGAACAACCCTAAGGGTCCATGTACCCAAATAGTACATACTTTGGCCTTATACAGTAGTCCATATAGGTACTTCGGGGCCAATGTATATACTATATGAGTACATGGACCCTTCGGGGAAGTTACCATCATAGGGATCTATAGTAGATGATAGGGTTTCTTTATCATGGTAATTCAAATTAAGCCCTCTAGCAAAAGCCCAGAGGCCAGCAGAGCCAGCAGCCAGGAGATAACCAGCCCACAGTATCCGCAACTCCGTGCAAGCCCTGTTGCCTCGCAGCTTTGCGAGGGGCCCGGTTACACCACCATCACGGTTTAGGGTTTAGGGTTTAGGGTTCAGGGTTTAGGGTTTAGGGTTCAGGGTTCAGGGTTTAGGGTTTAGGGTTATCACCAATAGCACCATAACCATCACCTTCCTCTTCCTACTTGTCCAGTATCCTGGGGAACCAAAGGTTTACCTTTGGGAGTACATTGGATTACTTAGGGATGGTAGTTCCCCAAAAAAAGGTTAAAGGTTACCCTACTCTACCACTAGGTCTTCATCGTCTTTCTGCTGATGCTCAACCTCGCCCCGATCGCAGATGTAGAAGTCGGAGGAACCGCAAACGGCACAGCAGCGGCAGTAGCAGGGGCAAAGTCTTGGAGCAGGAGTACTACTGAGGTCGTACATACACTAAACCAATACTGAAGATCTGCTTCTCTTTATGAGGACCAATAGCCGCAGTTATAAAGCAATCCATAAATCATGAGAACAGTCTGAATATCCGGTGTCTGCAGAAGCCTTCTCTTGCTCAACGGCCCAGAGGTAGATGGCACCCGCACTGACCAGTGCGCTCGGCATTTGAAGGCCCAGAGCCCACCAGGTCATCCGATCAAAGCCGGGAAGTGTGGCGAGCCACATCCAAACCAAGACAGGCTTTACGAGAACAGCAAAATTCTGCACCTTGTGCACCTGAAATGTCATCCACAGCCCGAGTAGGATGGCGGGGATTCCTTGTGGAAGATGCTCCAGTTGGCGGCTGCAGAGCCAAAGGAGCCACGCAGCAAGCACGCAGCCGAAGATCAGAGGCAGCGCCCTCTCCGATACCTAAGCTTGTCTTGCTGAGGAACTTAAGCTGTCATGATTCTGGAGAAATACAGGGCCTTAACAATTAGAATAGGATCATGGGGTATATCATACTACTCGCATCATGTTATAAGGAACCCCCCAAAGTAGCATTGGTAATTATGTAGGTCCCCATAGTACAGACATGACAAAGCTGAGTTCCTGAAGAAGGCCAGGGACTGGCTCCGAATGAAGCGGCACCTCCACGGGCACAGCTGTGGCCAAGGAGCCAGGCAGAATTGTGTTCACCGAGCCAGGCAGAATTGTGTTGGCAGAACCTAGTTCATGGTTGGGATAGTATTCAAAATGTAACTTTCTATTCCTGGTTGAGTTTACAAACTCATAGACATGTAAGTTGTTACCCAAATGTGACAAAGGAACTGGGCGGCAGAATCGTGACCACGGAGTCCGCGGCCGCGGCAGTGTCTAAGCCTGGCGAGCTGGCCAGTTCCAAAGGGCTCAACACCACTCAGTCAAAGACTAGACACGGAATCAACCACCACCTAACCCTAAACCCTACACCATAAACCCTAAACCCTACACCCCAAAGCGTTATCACACGATTTCACGGAAATGTGCCCTTCAAAGGGATATCGGGGCTTCTTCGGCCAAGGGGTGCTCTGAAAAGGCAGGGCCTGGGATGTGCAAAACGCTTCTTACGCAGGCAGCTGCTCAAACCTTGCAGAATGGTCTAGGGTTTACTCTATATAGAATAAAGCAAGCAAGGAAATATGTACATGGAAGTAAAGAAATGTTCAAGCCCCGAAGAGTTTAACTGGCTAGGTACGCCTGTTTTGGTATCCACAAGCACTGCCACCACGGCAACTAATTTAGACTATGGCTTTGGGAATATCGTACTATAATGAAATAAGGACCATAAATATACGATAGTTACATGGGGACGACAAGGGAATAATATCACACATTCTGAGGTGCAGTCCTTCGCGCCGCAGCAAAGCCTTCAGCCGCAATGCCGCCTCCGAAGCCTGTGGATCATCTTCCTGCGATTAGAAGCACTAGAACCTATAGCGACATGTGGTATATAGCGTGTGAGGTAATGTATAATGAAATCTATGCCATACTATAGTGTGTATATTTATATGTATATATCTGTATATGTGTATGTTTGTATATTTGTATATGTCTATATGTGTATATGTGTATTTGTGTATATGTGCATACGTGCATACGTATATGTATGTATACGTATGTATATGTATGTATATGTATGTATATGTATGTACATGTATCTATATGTATGTATATGTATGTATATGTATGTATATGTATGTATATGTATGTATATGTATGTGTATGTATATGTGTGTGCATGTACATGTATGTATGTGTGTATGTATGTACGCATAGGAGTATGTGTATATGTATATGTATATGTATATGTATATGTATATGTATATATGTATATGTATATGTATATGTACGTGTACGTGTACGTGCACGTGTATGTGTATGTGTATGTGCATGTGTAGGTGTATGCTTTGCTATGTATATGTATATGTATGTGTATGTGTATGTGTATGTGTCTGTATATGTATATGTATATGTATATGTATATGTATATGTGTATGTATGTGTATGTATATGGATATGTATATGTATCTGTATATGTATATGTATATGTATATGTGTATGTGTGTATGTGTATGTGTGTATGTGTGTATGTGTGTATGTGTGTATATGTATATATGTATATGAGAAGGTATACTTATAGGCATAGGTATAGGTATATGTATATGTATATGTATGTAAACAAATACATAAATAAGTCAATAATAAATAAATACATAATAAATAAACAAACAAATAAAGATATGTATATATTGATTGATTGGTTGATTGATTGATTGATTGATTGATTGAGTGAGTTTCGTGTACTGCACGATATGCATATATATATATATACATACACATATATATATATATATAGAGAGAGAGATATAAGATATGCCATACTGTAATATAAAGTAAAATATACTATGGATCTGAACTTGCCTGCGACAGCAGTTTGTAGGACATCGGAATCCCAGGCGTCAGGCAAAGGCAGAATCGCCTGGCGGACATATTCGAGCGGAGTTCTTGGACATCTCAGTGGAAGTTGAAGGGATTCATCAAAACTCTTGCAAGTAAGTGCCTGATGAAGCCCTTGTCCCCATGACGCCCTTAACAAATCTTAAAAAACTCTTGACGAGACCCTAACGGAAACCCCAAGTGCTGACCTAACTGTAAGCTTTCAACAAGGAGTGCACTGGGTTTAGAATTATTTCGGGCAGACGTAAGCAAACTACTCTGTAGAGTGGGTATGTCAAACAAGCACAAGTCAGGATCCAGAAAGTATCTACGTCATCTCGTCATGAGTTCGTGAGCGCACAAGACTCACAGACCATCTCAATTCCATAAGTAGAATAAGGTTGGGGGTCAACTATCATAGGAACCCTCAAGAATAAGCAATCTGGGTTCTGTTTTGTGCGGACTGTTCGAGTCGACTCGTAGAAGCGGCGCGTCCCAAAACTCATGCACGGGTGAAACTGACTGGTCTCTGATCCCAGAAGGAGGACGACGTAAATCGAGGACCTTTAACGGATCGTGAGGACAGATGCTCTTCAACCCAAGCCAAAGTATCAGGTGACGACCCTTACAGAACCGTGTAGAATCCTGTAGGAACTTTGCGGACATGCTCCGAACCCAATGTCGGACGGTACTTAAAGGATCATGGGACTGAGTAAGTAGCTTATAACCTCAATAATGTACTTCTAACCTTACTTACTCAGTCCCAAAACCCGAAACCCTGCAACCTCGATGAAGGTACTTGGACAGTTCTCTAAATTAGGGTCCATTTTTTTGGGGGGGGGGTCCTTTTTGTTAAAAGGTGTTGTACTATATTTGGGGCCCAAAAAGGGACTTTAATTTCGAGAGCTACCCACTTATAACCTTACTCCCAGAGAACCTAATACCCGTTAATTAAGGAATATACCTTAATTCATCATGATAAGCCCCCTAAAACTTAAGGAATATTCCGCAATTAAGGTGTATTGCGTTCTCTGGGCTTGCTCGGCCCGGCGATCCCCCAAGCAGCCTGCTCCAGCAGCAGTGCACGGTTTTGCATAGGGGTTGCGCGACTCCTCCGGGCCGAGATGCTACCCACGACCTGGCCTGAGGATCCTGAACAGGCTTTAGGGCTTAGGGTTTAGGGAGGGGCTTCGAGCTTCGGGTTTTGGGGGTTTAGGGGTTTTGGGGTTTTTTGGGGTTTTTGGGGGTTTAGGGGTTTTAGGGGTTTGGGGGTTTGGGGGTTTTAGGGTTTAGGGTTTGGCAGAGCAAGGGAGCTGTTTCCGCACTGGATTCAAGACATGGGCTTCTTTTGGGGGTCTGAGGGTGGCTTTTCGGGCTTATGAGGCTAATGGCTTTGTCTGCTTCTTGAAGGGGGGAAGGGTTCCCCCGAAGACAGCTATTGTGGAAGAGGAGAGAGCGCGAACGAATGGGAAACACAGCGATGATCAAGATTCACGGCCTTATCTTAGACTCAATGCAAGCTTTCAGAATGAATAAGTTGGTATATACGTAGGCTCTGGGCTTATGGCTCGTTTGTGTATGCCGTGTGGCTACTTCTTTAGGTTCAAGGGTGATCCATTCGTCGTTGGAAACGGAATATCGTGCAAAAGGTACACACACCATAAATCATAAACCCGTCGTTGGAAGTGGCAAATCGTGCAAACAGTGCACATACCATAAACCGTAGATGCGCAAGTCCAGACTAGATGTGGCCTGAGCCTGAGCGGACTATGCATGGGCCTGGTCTTCTGAACCAGAAGATTGCAAAAATGATTTCAAGAACTCGCCGTACACCCTCCCAGACCATCGTAGATGGTGCAGCAGCATGGCCAACAGGCCTAAACCCTAAACTCGAACACTCACCAGTTTTGGGAAACTCGCGGACACCCACCCCGCAGGTCATCGCGTGAGACACTCCCAAGGGTTGGGTTGAAGCTAACCTCCACCTCGAGTCTTTGCTTGAGTTGTCTAATGCTTAGGGTTTTAGGATCATTAGGGACTACCCATATAGGCTCCTAATTAAGTAGTTCCTTTTTTTATTATGGTTCATATTTAGAATCCTATAAGGTACTCCCCAAAAGGAACTACTAAGGAGCCTATGACGAGGTGTAGGCGAGACCTGCTCCCAACCCATGTAGGCAATGTCAAGAACTCGGCGTGATGGAACGCTGTCTTGAAGCGTAGTCCTGTTCCAGCCTTGCTGGTACGGTTTAGGGTTTAGGGTTTAGGGCTTAAGGTTGTGAGTGCGCAATTTAAACCTGCATGGCACGGTGGGCAAGACTGAAAAATGCATCAATGAGTTGACTTTGACACCGAAGATGTTAGCACTAGCCTCCCGACCACGACCGTCACCGGCATCACCATCACCAGCAGCCCCTTTCCTGCATGTTGTGTGCGGTACCAGTGCCCTTGAGGAAGCCTACATCTACTCCTGGGCTACGTCGCTTCAAAAGGGTACTTGGCCTTCAAGCCCAGCAACTGTGGGCTCCAGACTCAAAACGGTCGAAGCATAATTAACCAGTGTGCAACCAGTAAAAATGATGAACATCATAATGGCACACTTTGCATCCTCCTCTCCCCATCTTCCTCACCACCGCTGCGTGCATGATGACCATCATCATTGCCATCTTGGGATGCACCATCATGATGACCGCCACGGTGAGAATGATGCTTATGAGGTTGATCACGAACACCATCGACATTGCTTGTTGGAATGGCTAGTCACGGCTTCATTCTCGTCTTTCTCCTCCTCCTCCTCCTCCTTGTCTTCGTCGTCATGTGACGAACAGGCTTAGCATGTTAGTCACGATGCTTGCAGAATCCATATGCATTGGCATAGGTTCATGCTGAAGATGCTCGCGATATCATCGTTATCGTCGCGTTGACACCAATAAACTCAAACTTTAGCGACGTATTCCTCTTGTACTTGGCGTCGCTAAGGGGCTTTGAAACCATGCGGAACGAAAAGCTCACACTAGACAAGGTCTGCCTGAGGCCCAACAAACTCTTCATTCTCCAGGTGGGAACAAACACTAGACTGTAGGATAGGGTTTGGGAGTACATTCATTCTACTAGAACGAGAACACGGAACCCTTAATGAATACTGCTACCATTGATGTAGGTTGCTGATGAATCTGGACACTCCCTCTGTCTAAAACCCTCACCCAGGATCTCGGACACCAATTAAATTTCACCTTAGCAAAAGCCTCGAACCTAAGAAACCAATACTTCGCGCAGGTTGGTTCTAAAGCCTCTGGCAGATATTCGAAAACAAAATCTGCTTCATGTAGGGGCCTTCATATTTCGAACAGGGTTTGGGGTATATTATACTATATGTATAGTAAGGAACCCCCAAAACAGCATAGGAGATTAACTATTAAGGCCCCTATATTGCCCCCAACAAAGGGAACTAACAGTATCTCTGGGCTGCCTGTCCTTTCTGGATCCCCATTGCTTCCTTCATATTAAGGGTGCCTTTTTTCCCTAGGAAACTCTCAACAACAAGGGTAACCAGGGTGCTACGGGGGGGCATGATGCATGAGGCGTCTGCTGGAAGGACATATTCCAAGACAGTCGGGCCATCACAACTCCCCCCATCCTTTCATGTGAGCCCCGTTGGTTCTGGCGATTTCGGATCCCAAAGGCTCCTTGCACCTTTATAGTAGCTACTTAGGCCTTAAACAGGTACTTTAAGGCCTAAGTATCTACTATGAAGGTACATGGAGTCTTTGGGGGATGATTAAGGGTTTTGGCTTCGGCTTCAGGGTTGCATTCCTGATTGCTAGAAGCCGCTGGTCTTCTGCTGGTGATAACAAGTGCTACCGCTGTGGCCGCTCCGGCATAAGGGTGACGGTGAGGAGGGTTCTGTCAGGGTGCTAAATGGGAGACCTAGTATGCGGTCTTGTGCAGTCCTACCCTGGGTTCTACAAGCGTAGCTCAGCTTGAGGAGGGGTGCTCGCACATTCGGGCTTGGGGTTCGGGGTTGTGGGTTTGGGTAATTCGGGTATCACGGCCTCGGGCTTCGGGCTTAAATCATGCTACGAGTTCGGCCGCCCTCTGAAGCATCGAGGTTTTTGTTAGCAAGGCAGGTCACTGCCGGAAAGCAAAGGGGGCTCACATGACATCAGTTCGCACTTTGCGATGGGTTCGTTAACTCCCTAACAGCTAGCATCAAGGTCCATTCCCACTCGTCGTCCCGCATGCCAGGCGAATCATAACATGATGCAACCTGTCGGGTTGTGGCCAATTCCAAGCTGCGTGTCTAAATACCCTAAACCCTAAAGCCTAAAACGTTTAGGGTTTCCTAAACCTTAAACCTTGATGCGTCCAGGATTTCATTGCCGAGTCATCGGCATCTACGCTGAGCGACTCAGGTGAGTCGCATCTTGCTCGAAAGCTGTTCTTAAACGTGATTATCATCGTTAGCATGACTGTGATAATTATTGTTGTTGTTAACGATACGATGACTAACTTATTTCACTCCCGATTGCTTGAATCCGGTCCAGTGTGCTGTATCCGGCATAGCTTGGAAGCTCTAAGACACCTGTGGGTAGTTCATTAAATTAGGGTCCCTTTTAGGGTCCTTCTTATATGGGTGCCGTACTATATTGGGGACCTGAAAAGGGACCCTCATTGAGAGAACTACCCCTGTAGATCTTCAACGCTACACTTCGGTCCCCCAAAATTCTGTGGCTTCGCGGTTCATAGATATGTAAAGCCTATAGTTCTTGGGTTAGGTTTAGGGTTTAGGAGAATATCCCGCAAACCATTATTTCTACTTGTCAAGGCCCCTACATTTCGGGGCCCTCGGCTTCTGTTTTCCTCAGCGCTGACTTTAGGGGGAGACTACTCGTCGACCTTTTGGATGACATCAGGGCTTATAGTAACCCCCCCCAAAGATGGTGAAAAGAAACGTGCTCTATATACTACTTAGGGGTCAGGTTCGGGATTACTGTACCCCGCCCCCCCCCCCCAAAAAAAAAACATAAAAATAATCATAATCATAATCATAAGAAATAAATAAACCTAAAGGAAACCGCGCTCTACTTTCCTAACTTATAGGCGTTTTCAGTTTCATCGGTTCAGCTCCCAGGGCCAAGCAGGCTCAGCCAGATCAGCCGCCTGTACCCATGGGCCGAGGTTACGAAGATGATCTGTTCCAGTATGTACATATATTATAGGTAAGAGTGTAGGGTTTATAGGGTTTGGGGGTTTAGGGTTATGTAGCACATGACATGTACTACTTCATACCCAGATTGTAAATGTATCATGCGAAAAAATATACATAATGCGTATTAACTAATAAGGCTGTCTCGACTTGGCTTCAAGCTTTCCTTCGCATATCCACTATCTCCATTGGGGCTCCGGAGCCCCTGGGCTGGTTGAAACATGCCGGTAGTTCTCTAAACTAGTGTCAGGGAGCCTAATTTAGAGAACTACCCACGTCGGTGCGTCTCCCATGTTTCCAGGAAGTTTAGGGGTTTAGTTTAGGGTTTAGGGGTTCAAGGTTTAAGGGTTTTGTATTTAGGGGTTCAGGGGTTTAGGGTATCTAGGCCAAATGTTATCTGGTTCCTTGGACCCTTGCTGAAATTACTAAGGGGTCAGTTGGTAAAACACGAGCAAGCCTTTATCCTAACAGCACCCGAGATCACTCCCATGCCCCACAGAGTCAGCCAACTTGCCCTGTTACCTTCATCATCTTGTGTTCAAATCCTACTTTCACCAGTTATCAACCCATGAGTGGCTATCTGTGATTTCGTTTAACGGGCTCGGAAAGAACAAGCTGTAAACTCTAACGCTGCTTAGAACCACCTTGGCCAGTCCACTATTGAAGGGAACGCACCCGCGAACCCAGCTGGGAGTGTGTTGCAAGGGTGGGGTCTTGGACATACCCAGCATCTCCGGCTCGTGGTGATACTGGGGGTTTAGGGTTTAGGGTTTACGGGCTTTTAGGGTTTTAGGGGTTCAGGGTTTAGGAGGGTTTAGGGTGGAGTTGTCTACGTGCTTGACAAGTCCGTGGTCGTTGTGGTGTATTTATCGTGAATGCGCGCGGGTTACAGCGAGATTGGTCGCAAGGACGTAGCGGCGATGACGGACTGGGCAGGCCCATAGAATCATTAGGAATATCAGTGCCAAGGAGACTCCAAACATCCTCCATTACGGAATATGCCTTCAATCATACCCTAAACCCCTATACTCTAAACTAAACCTTACACATCTCAATTCCCAAACCCTACACCCCAAACCTTCAAACCTAACCCCGTTTCCTAAACCTTAAGCCCAAAACCCCGAAACATAGCCTGAGGCCAGCAAGAGCTTCAGCTTGGGCAAGTCTTGGATCACTCGATCGGCGAAGTCNNAGGACCCGAAAACCCTATTGTAATTACGAAGGTCCCTATATATGGTTTTCGCGGAAAGTGGTTTGAGGCTTTTTGGGCTCAGGGATAGCCAGTAGAATGCAGAAAGACAATGCTTCCTGCAGCATGTGCCATCTCTGCACCTTGATACTACACTATAAATTCTATCTATATGTATATGTTGTAAACCACATCTTATAATATATATATATACATAT